AAAGGAAATGTAATAAGAAAACTTTGCGATCTTTTATTATATTTAGTAAATGTTATGTTACGCGTTTAATAAAAAAAATAATCGTTTGTAAAAAAAAAAAAAAAAAATTATGAAAAAAAGAGGAAAAAAAAAAAAGTGAGAAAAAAAAAATTAACTTTATTCAACGTGAAAACAATTATATTGATTTGTTTACGTCAGTGATTTTTGTAAATATAATTCCCAAAGATTAGTATCCGAAATCACGTGTTACCCAGAAAAACTATCCGGCTACCATTTTTTCTAGGCGACGCGACATTCCGCCTAACTTTTACCGAAGCTGAACAAGGTTAAGTATTTTTTGACGTTTCTACCAATGAAAGATACGTTAACGGTATCCTACGCCCATATGGTTCAGCCCTTTGGCCGATGCTTGGATTAGAGTGCTGTGGGTAAATCGCTATGACTCGTTACATGCTCGCAATGGCTCTTAGTGCCTCAGCCTGGGCCTCTATTCCAGAATATATATTGTCATTAAAACTTTTATTTTATTGTAATAATCCAACAGATTATTCTATTAAAATTATGTTGTTTAATATCACTACAGTAACCTTCTTTTTAATATGGAATTTGATTATTACTCGGATACCTATGTGTTCAGTTCCAATCCTAAGGACTTGAGTATTTTAAACTTTCTTAATTATCTGAAAGATAAATTGGTATTCACATCAGACAGCAAACAAGAAGTCCAGGATGCGCTTACAAGAACGGTCGAAAGGGTTATTGATTCGCCTATTGTACAGGCTGGGATAAAGAAACGGTTAAAAAAAATATCCGATAATATCAGTGATACTTTTGAAAGGAAATTGTTGAATTTTTTGCGGAATTGGACAAGGAGTTTGAGGCAGTAAGTAATTGCGGTTTTGCATGATATGGCCCTGTATATATATTTGAAAATATTAATTTATCGTTTGTAGAGGCAAAATCGACGAAATCTCGAGATGTCTTATGATAATTATAGCTCCGAACTACTACAAAAGTCTGGTGATTTAAATACATCGAGACTTTCATCTTATTATATGACAATGTCTGCCGAATTTCACGAAAAGGTAAGATCAATGTTTTTATTCTGCTCGTTCCAAGTTTGATTGCTAACTTTAAACCCATATTTCTTTGTTATATCACCTAGGGAGAATCAACTTCTGATCAAAGCAATTATGTTTCAAGAAAAAGACGAGATGTTTGTTTTAATGAGGAGCGAACAATAAAGAAGCAATATCAAGATGGATATACTGCGTCACCTTCACTTGATAAAAATGAACAAGATGCAGATTTTGCTGTTGAACAGGATACGGATAAAATGTATTACCAGGATCTGTCATCAGTTAAGGTCTGAAATCTCAATCTTTTAATATTTCATTATTGTCTGTTATTTAATAAGCCTTTATCTCATAATAGACTTCATTAAATTCGGCTATCGAAAGGCCTCTTAATAGTGAAGGTGCGATAGATGTTGAAGTCCCAATCTCCAAGCGACCTCAAAAGGCAGTTGCTTCTAAGAGTGTAAGTACATAAATAACAACTTGCAAATAATAATTAGTACATCTCAAATCTTTTCTTAACTTTTGGATGTGCATACAGAATAAAAATAGAAATGAAGAGTCGGTTGAGGAACATATTTCCCAAGAAGATTTGTTAAACTCGGTGAACGAAACATCCAATACCTTCAAGCAAATAGAGTTCCCAACGTATTACGATAAACTAAAAACCATATGGAACACTTGTAATGCCGGAACGAATTATTTTGTGTTAGATTTAAGAGACAAAGAATATTAAATCAACTGCACAATCTTTTGGAAGATTGTGAACTAGAATCGCTGTTCGAGAGACTATCGTTAGAGGATGAGAATGAACATATGAGTAAGACTGCACAAGAATATATGATGCTGTTCGACCAAATTATAGAAGAATCTTCGGATGAAGAGGGAGAAGAGGATGCGGAGGATGTTGAAGAGGGGTATGCGGGGAATGTTGCTGAAAATGGTATCGAAATTGAAGATGAATCTGCTTCCGAAATGGGAAAAATAACACATAGTTTGAATGGAACAGCCAAAAAACTTCGATTCCTATCAAACACCATTCCCATTCCGGTGCATGACTATGATCAATCCCAATTTCCAGACGTACATATTATTAAAAGTGTTTCCAGCCACTTAGATGCTGTCACTAAAATGAAAGGCATTGTGAAGAACACTACTGAACGATCATGGACATCGCATATTTTAGCTTATCTTTTTTTTATTACATTTAGTTTTCTTGATTCCGTGCAATATTTTTCTTGCGAGCGGACTATTTCTACGAAGATGGATTCTCAACCTACAGATTATAGAGCGGATGGAGTAGCTGAATTCTTTGAACGTCCAAAACAAATCCCGTTGTTTCTGCTTGAAGTTTCTGGAGGCCCTGGTGATCCGGATCCCGATAAGTTCAAAACCGATAGGCACAAATTAATGAGTGAAGGCGTCTTCGCTCTTAACAAATTTATGACGAAAACAGAACTTCCAACATGGAACGTTCGTAAAACATTGGGAATTTTCCTTGCTCAGGCATTTGGTAAGCTATTTTCAGAATATTTCGAGCAAGAATACATTACTTTATTTTAATATATAATATACTATTTATTACAGGTGATGAGCTCGAGATCGGTCAGATTATTTATATTGGTCCAGGATTATACCTATTTTCACCATTTACGATACCTAATCTAATTATTCCAACTTCCGCTACTAATTTGGAACACGTGCCTCGAATAATTCGAACATTATTATGTTTGCGATATAATGTTGTCAAGAAGATTGAAAAATTCAAGAAATTCGAAAGAAGGGGACAACGTCGTATCATGAAACCCATAACTAAATATGCTACCGGGGTTTCACCAGGCCGGCTTAGAACTTGTAACTTTTGCTGAATTTTTACCTAAAGAGACATCTAGTAAGGTTAATAGTAATGGACAAGGGAATGTAACAGGAGGAAGGGGAAGAGGTCGGGGAAGAGGTCGAGGATAAGGTCGTGGTTCAGAAATTTAAAAGTTTGCGATTTTATTATATGTCACTAAATAAGATTTTTCTTTTCGCGTAATTTACTTCAAGCACATGCAAACCCATTAATAAAAAACAATAAAAAATTTCACCCAACTTTTTATCTGGCATATTGGTATTAGTTTAATATAATAATAAAGCATTCACATCATGCTTGTAAATACATTATGAGTGATCGGCGTTGCAGTGAGGTTCCAATATGTTGGCTTCGAAACAAAGTAGGACATTGAGAAAAAAAGGCAAAACTACAGAATCTGTCAACCCGTCTCTTGCCAATAATATGAAGCTTGCTTATAATATTTTGAAAATCTTGAAGACCTTATAGTAGGAGGTAAGGAAATTCCAGAGCTCGACTGTTCGAAATATAATAACGAAATTTTAACATGTCTTCCAAGGGCGATTACATTCCTCAGCTGTGGCCACACTTTTCACAGTATATGTGTTGAAAAAAAGCTTTTACTGACCATGCCAAATACATGCTTGTGGAAAGAATGTTGATATCATAGAACCATTTCCTATTAATCAAGAGTTGCCATTTTCTCAATCAACCAAGCGATCTATCGAAAAATACTATCGAGAAAAGGATAGAAAGAGCAAGAAAGATTTATGATTTATTTAACACCATTAAGTTTGATAAGATACAACGGGTAAAGAGCTTTCCAGTGTCGCATATTTACAGATTAAGCTGGGACAATATCGAGAGAAAATTAGATAGGTACTGCGCCACAGTACGTGATTTTCACTAACGGGCCGTTGAAACGCAAAAATATATATTTGATAATCCTTCCCTTTAGATTATTTTCGCCTGCCAATGAATTAGCCAAAGGCGTTTTACATGTGCTTATCAAATAAAGTTTTCCCATATTGGGCTTTTCTCCTTTTAATCTAATGTTTGTATGTACATGCGAAATAATGTAATTCCCGATATACTTGTAATCAAATAAAAATGAATCTGATATTTATTATAGTATACTTGTTGTTTGATATACAGTGGCTTCCAAAAAAAACGCACCACTATTTTGCTTATTATTAATCATGTGCTTTATGATTAATAAACAAAATCCGATTATTTGAATATTTATTAAATAATATAGTATACTATAAGATCTTCATAATACAGCAATTTTAATATTACTTGATAAATCGGAAAAATTTTTATCACGTGATTCTTTATTAAATGATGGTGCGTTTAATATGGCGCTTTCGCAAATATAACAAATTTATTAAATTTTTTTAAAAAAAAACTAAATTAATCCCAATTAAAAATTTCACCAAATATTCTCACCATCGAGTATAACCACCTTTTGCTTTGA